GGTATAAGCGAGTATCAAGAGATATTGCATTATGTTTTATTTCCGCCATTGGTTACAGATTCTTTCTTGTTTTACATGCTCTCAGCAGTTTCTTCTGGCTATCGTCAGGCCTATATAAGTTAATGTGATTATCTTTCTTGTTGGTCTATAGGCCTAAAGATGAGTAAACAGTAGCTTGGTGAGCTGACGCACAAAGATACTAAATATTATTGTAGACTCACTGTTATAGGTATGTGAGTATTCGTTGATACAGCGTTACCGAGTAAAAGAGGAGTGTTTCTATTTTCAAAATTTTCATAACTCAATTCCCGAGAGAAGTAACAACTAGAATCTAATGTTCCCGAGAAATTTAATTTTGAGCATAGGTCTATAACATACTCAATTATCAAAATTCTGCAAAAGTTTTACAGCTCTAGTTATTATGTCAAAGTTTGAATACATGCATAAAATACACACTATTATTAACTTAACAGACGGAGGTTCTGTCACTAGGGATGGTGGCATTGTTAAAATGCCATTGAGATTGACGATCTAAAAAATATACATGTCGGGTACCGTAAATGTTTTGTAGGAACGGTTCTGGAAATACCAATTCCTATTACAGAATATAAATAAAGAAGATTATCAAAAATTATATGTATATCTACTAGTCTATTATTCTTTTTAATTTAAAGAAACGTCGAAGGAAGTTTTTGGAATATAAACCATGTCGTTGTTTCAAAGTTGAAGGCATATTGTATTTTCGTGAGGGTATTTTGTCGTTTTTCATATAAACATTCTAAGTAGGCACTGTATGCGGAAATATGAAAACACAGACGTAGCTAAAACGAACCAAGTTAAACTCGTCATGCAAACGATTAAAGCACTCGTATAGCCTCAACGAGCTGTCGGTAACGCCCCTCCTATATCCGAACGATTTACTAACAGAAAAGTTTTGCAAAAAAATCTCGTTAGCTAGTTTCCACTTACGCATTTTTCTACACTCCATACGTTTACTACTTTATTACATTGTAATGTTGCTTTTTAAAGATGACAGTAAGTTAATTGTACAAGTGTTTAGATTTATTTATAGAATATGTTCTAAATAAAATTAATTAATGAAACTCAATAATTTCTCCAATGGCAGTTATTTTCTATCGAATTTAACGTAATTTAGTCTTCTAATATATATACAATCCAGCAGTTTTGATTTATTCATTTGCAATATCATATTTTTTAAACAGACTAAATAAACTACTGAAGAAGTATAAAATACTTCCGTTTACTTCTAGTACAGTAACATACGGTGTTTGAAATCACCAACAGAAGAGGGCAGTATATCTATTTTTGCTCTGTAGACAGCAATCCTGTCTAGATGTCAATCTCAACGATTTGTTTTCAGTTTCAGCCTATCAGTTAGGCCTATCGTTTGATCGATGGGTTGATAGACCTAGCTCTCCCTTTCCGTTGCTTTTCCGCAGTACTAAAAGTTAAAAAAGTAATGAACTTCCGACCGTCTGTAGAATCAACAACATAGGGGCATAGGCTTAAAGAGTAGCAACTAATACCACTTACACATCGAACCAATCATTATCTAAAATTCTCACCAATGTATTCGATGCAATCTTGATGCAATATTGAAGTTATATTTGTAGG